CCGCGCTGCGGCACTGCTTTCACGGGCCCGGCGCCCGTGGGCAGCGCCGACCGCCTCCTCGTTCTCCACGTGCCCTGAGCTCACCCCGGGGGTCAGTCCCCAGACTGGGCGTCTCGAAAAAGTTGAGACGGAAGCTTGTCGTCGTTTTCGGCCTCCCGGGCCCTCGCTGGGCCTCGGGACCGTCAAAAAAGGGTTCGGGATGAAAAACCGGTCCTCCGGAAGCGGCCAGGAGGCCTGGGACCCGTGTCTCGAACAAAAGCGAGACGTCGGAGGTTCGGGTCTCTGCAGCCCCAGCCTGCAGGGGCAAGACGTGGAGCAGCTCCTCTCCACGGCCGTGCGCCTCTTCGATGCCTCCATTCCTCGTCCTCCTGCCCCCCCCCTTTCCCTGCCACCCCCCCTCTCGAGGAGAGCGATTTGGTCTCCGTGTCGCAGTGGTGCACGCTGTAGCCCGCACGTGTGGAAGAGCATCGCCAGCCGGGACGCCATGTTCCTGAACCGTCATCTGCCGTGCCCCGGTCTGCACGTACGCCTCCAGCCGCCGGCGCTTCTGCAGCCGACGCGTCGTGCAGGCACGGCGTTATCGAACATCCCCGTCGCGGCCATCACGCCAGACCGCCTCCAGGCCCACATGCTCCACGCGGGAGGGCCCAGGAACAGCCCCCCAAGGTCGGGCCGCGTCATGGGGCGGGCCCGGCTGGCCGCAGCCAGGCCCGCCTCTCCCGCGGGCCCCCCCGCGCCGCCCACCGCCGTCCCGGGCCTGCAGGGCGGGTGGCCCGACCTCCAGGTCCACTTCCTCGACCCAGCAATTCGGGAGGGGAGACAACACAGACACAAGCCATCGTCCCGCGGAAAAGATGGGAAACTATGGGAGGTACGAAGATCCAGAAAACATTAGAACATATGGGGAATCGCGGGATTTGTGTCTACTTGTTTGTGCGGGTCCCAGGGCCCCTTTACAAATGCAGGGCAGCGAAGCCGACCGCGTCATCATCACCTGCGTCCGCTCCCGTGGCAATTGCTACCTCGGGCACGCCGTCTGCGCCCGCCGGATCGACGTCGCTGTGACGCGAGGCAAGAGCGGTTGCAGTGTATTCGTGAACGCCAGGATGGCCCAGGCTAGCCAGGACGCCAAGCTCCACGACCTGCTGAAGTTCGCCTCCAATGCCAACCTCTTGGTTCAGCGGACAGCTCAGGCGGCGCCAATCCTGCCCTCGGTGTCACTTTCAAGCGCATCAGCCAGGCAGAAACGACAGGCTCCGTTCCGGCTCCAGCCAAGCGGGCGCGCCTCGCAGAGGCTTGCGACGAGGCCGTCGCCGAGCAGCAGGCGAAGGCTTTCCTGGTCACCCTGCGCAGGCCTCCCCCTCCAGACCTTTGCCCGGCCAGCGTCTGCGAGGAGCTGGATCCGTGGTGCGGGAAGCTCGCGGCAGGTCCCGCTTTCCTACCCCTGCTCGCCTGCGACCTCCTCGCGCACCCTCGCCGCTTCAGTTCGGCGCACCCCCTCGCCGACGCCTCCGAGTGCGACCGCGAGATCCTCTCCAGGCTGGCGCAGAATCTGCGCCCTGTGCTCGGATGCGACGCGGGCAGCGTCACCCTCACCTTGAGGTGGCTCGGGCTCATGCGCCACCTCGGCCTCGCCCCAAACGACTCGCGGCGAGTTAGTTCTGGGCGCCCTCGTCCAAGCCCTTGCCATGCCCACTCGGGTCGGGGGCTCTGACGACAGGAACCGCGCGGCCTGGCGAGGAGCGAGGCGACGAGCGGTACATCGCCGAGTTCCTCACCCAGGCCCCGTGCAAATGTCCGATGTCTGAGGCGGGAATTTATACATGACCACCTCCTGGAGGATCAATTTTCGGGGACCTCGGCAGGCGGTGCATATGGATATATTCGGACCCCCAGGGACCACTATATATGTTCTGTCCCTGACATCTCTTGTTGTGTTCTCGAGGGCGACCGCTCGACAGGATGTCGTGTCCATAATCCTTTTTGGCTCTGTAGTTTCAGAGGGCCGCGCTCACACCTTCCATGTGGCCATGGTTGGCTGACCGCGGCGCCAGCCTCGCCCTCGGCTACCTCGGGCGCTGCCCTGCGGCGCCGAGCTGCCCGCCCTGCCCGAGCTGCAGCCTCTCCTGCGCGCACGTCGCGTGCCCAGCCGCGCCGCTGTGCCTGGCTTGCCCCGCGGGGGCCTTCTCAGCGGCCGCGCCCCAGGAGGCGCCAGCCGCTCCGCGGGGCCCCCAGGCGCCGCCCACCGGGCCGTGCCCGGAGCCAGCGCCCTGCGCGGGCGGGTCAGGAGGCTGGTGGATCTTCCTGCTGGGCCTCATCGTCGGCGTGCTCCTGAGCGTGCTGGCCTGTGCAGCCTGGCGAGCGGCGGTGGCAGCCGCCCGGGCCCTGGTCGCCCCTCGGGCGAGGCCTGACGCCCCCGCCCTGGCGGACGAGCTGCCCGCTGCCGCCGCCGTCCCAGGCGGTCCCTCAGAGGCGACACCATCGACCTTGAGGAGGCGGCATGGCCCGCACGCATGACGTTCCAGAGCGGCAGATCTTAGTAGATTTCTTCGACGACCCTAACGGGTTTCGATGGCATATGCGATTGCTCGTCCTGGCCACGCCCAACCCTGGGCAGTGGATATGTTCGACGCCAGACCTGAGCATTCAGTTCATCGACGTCACCACCCACAGGGTGATCCCCCTCACGCGGGACTCGGAGTTCCCGCGGCGGGTCAGAGGCGAGGTCTACGCTTTCGATCCGTTGACCCCCGAGGAGCTCCAGCAGGTCCGCCGAGAGGCCAAGGAGCTGCTGGCCGTCTACGGGCTCACGGGGGGCGCGGACGCGCAGCCCGAGGGTGGGCGCTGGATGATCGCCGACCCCGCGCACCCGGGCTTCGGCGACGCGCTCCCCGCCGCGGCCCTTGCCGATGCCGACAGCCTCATCATCCGAGGCGACCGCGGCCTCGCCTGTGTGGACGAGGACTGGCTCGCCGTGGAGAGGGTGCTGGACGAGGACCTGGACAACTGGAGGTTGCTCAAGTCGACGGGCGCGGGCCGCGACAGGCGGATCCTCGGCGACGAGCGCGTGAACGGGGTGCCCGTGCTCTCTCTCACCGCCGCGGCGAGGGCCAGCAGCAAGGCCCTTCGGCCTGGCTGGCCCTTCCGCGGCGACGCCTGCGCCCAGGAGCTTGTCATGGCGCTCGTCGCGGCGGGGATCGTGTTCATCGCCCGCCACCTGGACTGGAGAACGAAGTCGGGGGTCAGTGCTACGTCGGGGGTGTGCCGGACGCACCGCCGCATCTGCGAAGGCCTCGACCAGGCCATCTGCTACGACCAACTCGACTTCGCCAACTGCGCGGTCATCGAGCACCTCGCCCGCTGGCTCTACGAGGTGGAGTCGGCGGTCAGGAGGAATCCGAAGGTGCCGGACTTCACGAACCTGGACGGTATCTTCGCGGCTCCCATGGCCGAGGACGGGCGGATGCAGCTGCCGACCTTCTCCAAGTGGGTCTCCTCGCTCCGCCGCGACGAGGCTCAGATCATGAAGCAGGAGCGGCTCTGGAGCGAGGGGCGCGGCATCGACCACGCCAAGCACAAGGGCAAGGGCGGCAAGGGGCCAGGCCGCGGCGGCGGCAAGGGCCCCAACCCCTCTGCCGAGTAAGGGCCCTCGGCCCCTGGGCGCCCGGGTCAACGGGGCAGGTCCTCTGGCGACGCCTGCTTCGACAACGCCTGCTGCCCGGGCGCCCCCCTCGTCGCCATCTCTGTGCTGACGCTCCTCGTGGACGTCCCCTTGGTCGGTGGAGGCCCCGACGTGAGCTACGGCACGGACGAGCTTGGCGGTCCGATGATGCGGGGGATGGCCCTCGACCTGACCCCGCCAAGGACTACCGCACCATCCAGGGTCGCAGTCACGGAGACCCCTTCCCCCTCCCGCTGTCTGGGGAGGTGCTCGCGCGCGGCGGCCATGCTGGGCCTGCTTCGAGGTCGCGAGTGCGATGTGTGCGCGAGGCGATCTGGTCTCTGAACGCCCTCGACGCCCCATCGCGCGCCCTTCGGGCGCACCAGCCTTCTTCGAGCCGTCGCCTCACGGAGGCGCAGCGCTCGATCATCTCGCGCGTCAGCCGGCGCATCGAGAGCTACGGAGAACGACCCGACATCCTGCCCGCCACCGCCTGCGCCGACCTCATCAAGAGTCACGACTTGTACTCGGGACAGCCGATGAACCTGAAGCCGTACGACCCCAGCCTTCTCAAGGTGCTCCACCGCGACCGACGCCCCCAGGAGCTCCGCGGCTGCCTGGGCACCGAGGGTCGCAGGTACCTTGACCACGCCGACGAGCTTATCTTCAGGACTGAGGCCGAGCTTGACGTCCTCCAGGAGAGCGAGCTGATCCAGCCCATCACGCCGTATTGGGACCCGATCCTGAAGAACAACCGCCGCGCCAGGATAGACTTCATCAAGCGCCTCGCCTCCGTGGGCCTCGTCGGGTTCAGGCTCTCCATCCGTGGCCGCATCGGCGCCTTCTTCGTGGGCAAGAAGGACGGATCCCTCCGCCTCGTCCTCGACGGGCGTGAGCCCTCCTCGCTCCGCAGGAGGCCGCCCCATGCCGCCTTGGGATCCGCTGGGGCCCTCGCAGGGCTCGACCTCTCTGACCGGGCCCTGCGGTCGCAGGGCGTCGATCCCCAGGCGGCCGATATCCACGCGGCGGGCCTGGACCTGAAGGATGGGTTCTACCATTTCGCGAACGACGACCTCGCGGACTGGTTCGGGTTCAACTACCCCGAGGCCGCGTCCGACTTCGGCGACCCGCTGGTGTACATCCCTGCCGACGGCCGCTTCGTCCAGGTATCGAGCGACACTCGGATCTTCGCGGTCTTTCGGGGTCTGCTGATGGGTTGGTCGCGGTCCCTCTTCTTCTGCCAGGATCTCTTGGAGGAGGCCCAGTGCAAGGGCCTTCTGAGCTTGGGATGTGAAGGCGGAGGCCGCTTGGTGCACGAGAGGTGCCCCGCGCCCTTGCTGGCGCCCGGCTGTCCCCTGTCCCAGCCCTACGTGGACAACGCTAACGTCATCGGCCTCAGCCGCCGGGGCACCGAGCACGCGCTGCGCGGCATCCAGCACGTCCTGGACTACTTCGGCATCGACTACCACGACCTGGTGGAGCCCACGAAGTTGTACGCCACGGTGGGGGTCGTGCTCGACACGGCTGCGCGCCGCCTTCGCCGCGCGGGGGCTCGCGCTTGGCGCCTGTACCTTGGCGTGGAGCATCTGCTTCGTGTGCGTCGTGCATCTGGCCGTGCCCTTCGAGTCGTGTACGGCCACCTGGTCAACCACTTCATGATCATGCGGCCAGCGCTCGCGGCGCTGGACGAGGGGTACCGCTTCATCGCGCAGCGCCTGGACGAGCGGGCCCCCCTCGGCCGCCTCCTGCTGGACGAGCTCCGTGTGGTGAAGGGTCTGCTGCTGCTGGCCGACGTGGACCTCGCCGCCCCCCGGTCGCGTGTAGTCTACTGCAGCGACGCGTCGGGCGGTGAGCTGCGTGGCTGGGCGGGCTGGCCACGCCGTCGCGGGGAACGGCGGCTACGCCCTCCACGAGACGGCCTGCGTCGACTACGAGGTCATGCAGGCTTTGGGGTACCGCGAGCGCTGGAGGTTCAAGATGGAGGAGGAGGAGCTGGTCATGCCGGGGGCCCCGAGCGACGAGATCCGCGGCTGGGCCCCTGAGCCCACGGCCACCTCCGACCTGCTCATCGCCGGCCTCCTGGCCCCCAGCTCCAAGCCGTCGGTGATCGACCGACGCCTCCCTCGCACAAGGACCGTCATCGTGCAGGGCGCCGTGCCAGCTCTGGGCGACGCCCTCCTGGTCCGCAGCCGTTGGAAGATGATCGTGCGAGGCGCCTTCAGGTACAAGGCCTCCATCCACGTGAAGGAGGCTCGGACCCAGCTCCTCGGCCTCGTCCGTGCCTCGCGCGATCCCCGCATGCACGGCCTCCGCGTCGGCAGCCTGGGTGGCAACATGGCGGCGCTCCTCAGCTTCGAGAAGGGGCGCGCCCGTGACAGGGCCCTCCTCCAGCTCTGCCAGGTCAGTGCCACCCGCCAGATCGGGTGCGAGATCCAGTGGAAGCAGCGCTACTGCGAGTCAGGCCGCAACCCGACGGGCGCCGACAGTCGTGCTGCTGACCTGGGACATGTCCTACCTGATCATCCCCAGCGTGGCTGCTCGCGGGCCCTGGCCGTCATCGAGTCGGCCAACGCGGGGCTTGCCGCGGAGCCCGCGGGGCCCCCTGCTCGCGTGCGGCGCCCCGCACCCTGTGGGCCGGCCGCTGGCCTCCTGCCTGGCGGGGCGGCCGCGCGCCTTGCCAGGGTCGGCGCCTTCGCGCGGCGGAGGCCCCCTCGGGCTGGCGCTGTGCACGGGCGCCCAGCGCCCGAGCCCCCTCGCGCTGCCCCACAGGCCACGCCGCACGGACAGCCGTGCCAGCGCGCCCACGGGGGCCGCAGCCGCTGCCGGGCATTTTGCGAGCTCTACGCGGGCACCGGCAGGCTGACGGCAGCCGTCAGAGACATTCGTTTGCATTGTACTCCACACTTCGAGATTGGAAATGGTAAGCATTTCGACGTCCATCATCATTCTGTCTTTCGTACTTTATCACGTTGGATTCGCCTCAAGAAGCTTTGGTACATTCATTTCGGTACTCCGTGCACTTTCTGGTCACTCGCCACTGGGTCCCATCGGGGCTCTCATCAGCTTCAAGGGCTTCGAGCTGCGCGTGCCACCTTACGGCTATTACGGCTATGCCATCAGTACGGCATACACTGGTCTTTGGAGAACCCGGCTGGGTCCAAGCTCTTCAACTGGGACCCCCTCGCGGACTTCCTGAAGACCTCAGGTGGCAATTGGGCCCTCCTCCACTACTGCCGGTACGGCTGCACCTATAAGAAGCCCACGTACCTCGTGTCGAGCCTCCCAGAGATCACATCTCTCGAGCGCCTCTGCCCAGGGAACCACAGCCACGAGATCCTCCAGGGCAAGGAATCCCTCGCGTCACCCTCTGGGGCCATCCGCAGCCATTGGAAGACCAGCCTTGCGGGGGCCTACCGACCTGAGCTCTGCCGCAGATGGGCTCGCCTCCTCGCGGCCTGTGCTCCCCGCGCTGCACGCTGTGCTCATGCCGGTGACCCGCTCGGCGACCACTGGGAAACTGAGCTGGCGGCCAACTTCCCAGGCGGAGGCGTCCAGCCCCAGCGGCCGCAACCCTCCTGCCCTTCGGAGTCGCCGCCCGAGTGGCCCGCCTCGGCGCCGCAGTGGGGCGCCGCCTGGTCCAAGCCTGCCGCCGCTGGCGGGCAGGCGCCGGGCTGGGGCGCATGCAGCAGAGAGCGTCGGGGTTCGCCGGCGAGAGCGGGCGGTCGGTGCGGACAGGCCCTACCTCAAGCACCGGCGTGTCCAGCCCCGCGCCGTCGCCTTGTACCGCGAGGCCCACCGCAAGTTCAGCCGGTGGGCGGCCGAGCAGCACCTCCGCCAGGTGTGCATGGGCGAGACAGACCTGGCCATGACGAGGTACCACGACCACATGTACTTCCAGGGGCTCAGCATCGTCCACGCCAGGAACGCCGTCCACGGGGCGATCTTCGTGAAGGACTACCCGCGACGAGCGCCTACCACCATGTGCCGTGCCAAGGGCGCCCTGGCCGGATGGTTCAAGGCAGGGCCCGACCGCGTCAGAGATCCGCTGCCCTGGGAGGCGGCGGTGCTGATCGCCGACAACCTCGCCGAGAGAGACCGCGAGGGGGTCGCCGCCGCTGGGGCCCTGCTCGTCAGCTTCGACGGGTACATCAGGCCGAGCAACACCCTGGCCATCACGAGCCGCGAGGTGAGCCAGCGCCAGGCGGGATCCAATCCCAACTACCCCAGCCTCGTGGTCACGATCGCGCCTCAGGCCGACGACCACGGCCAGCAGCCCGCCCCATCGACCAAGTCGGGGGACCACGACTGCACCATCGTCTTCGGCGACCAGGCCAGCCTCAAGGCCAACAGGGGCATCTGCCGCGACGCCCTGCTCTGGGCCTCGAGGAAGGCCCGCCGCGGCAGGCCCCTGTTCGACATCGGCCTCGCAAAGTACGAGCAGCTCTTCAACCAAGCCGTGTCCGACGTAAAGCTGAGCTCTCTCAGGGTCACGCCGCGCTGTGCCCGACACGGAGGCCCGAGCACCGACGCAGCTCTCAAGCTGCGCCCTCTTGAGGCCATCCAGAAGAGAGGCCTCTGGCGCTCGGCCTCCAGCGTGCGGCGCTATGAGAAGCATGGCGCACTCATGCGCCAGATTGCAAAGATGACGTCCTCCCAGCTTCGCTCTGTGCCCGCAGCCCTTCGAAGGCTGCAGAATATGTTCAAGATTTGATTTCCCACCCACCCTGCCCTAACAGTCCGTTTTACGGGGTACTGGATGAGGTGATTATCTCGATAATTCAGGCTTTTCTCTTGTACTGTGGCGACTCCACAGCAGAAGCGACGTTCTTGAGTGGAACCCTCTGGCTAAAGAGTTATCTGTCGCGCTTCGCGCACTGCATGGCCCTTCTGCCCACGTCTGCTCTGGTCGCCCGTGTAGAGAGGCCTACTGGTGCGTAGCAATGTTCTGTCCCTGACATCCCTTGCTATGTTCTCGAAGGCGACCGCTCGACAGGATGTCGTTTCTATAATCCTTTTTGGCTCTGTAGTTTCCCTCCCTCCCTCCCTGGGATGAGGTGATTATCTCGATAATCCAGGCTTTTCTCTTGTACTGTGGCGACTCCACAGCAGAAGCGACGTTCTTGAGTGGAACCCTCTGGCTAAAGAGTTATCTGTCGCGCTTCGCGCACTGCATGGCCCTTCTGCCCACGTCTGCTTTGGTCGCCCGTGTAGAGAGGCCTACTGGTGCGTAGCAATATATATATATATAAATAATATATATATATATATTATATATATATAGATTATATATATACGTGTATATATGTATATATATATATATATATATGTTTATGTATGTATATGTATATATATATAGAGTCCTCTTCGAAAATTCTTATAACGGAGAGCCCCCGGTGACCCCCCCTGTACATAAATTCGGCCCTGGGCGGTCCCATCGGGCAGACATTCCGTTTTTCGGTTCCAGGGGCCCCTCCCGGCCATCCCAAGCCGCCCGAGCGCGCCCACGATCGCGTTCCAGACGGCCCCGCGGAACACCCAACCGACTGAAGCTCGTCCAGGACGGCCCTGGAGGCCCCCAAGACGGCTCAAGAACGCTCCCAGGGGTCCCCCAATGCGGCCCCAGGAAATTCAAATCTTTGGGCAAAAATTACATTTCCACTACATTCGACGCCCAGGGCCCAAGAGGCGCCGGACAGTTCCCAAGACGGCTCCAAAAGCCCCAAAGACAGCCCAAGAGAGCCCCAAGACAGCCTCAGACACGCCCAAGACAGCCAAAGAGAGTCCAAACAGGGCCCCAAGTGAGCCCCACAAAGCCTCCAGAGAGGGTCGTTCGACCTTAATCTCAAGGGTGCGGCTTTCATCCTGCCCCCAAGACCCCCCCAGAGGCCTCCAGGACGTTGCCAAGCAGTCCCCAGTAGCCCCCGAGAAGCCCCCAAGAGGCTTCCAGAGGCCCACAAGACGCACCGCCGACACCTCCAAAAGACCACACCCCCATGCAGCTGCGTGCGTCGCAGGGCGTCACCATCTCTTCGTTCTTGAGGCGTATGCCGGAATGACCATGAGGAATGCGAAGCAGACCTGCGGTACCACTGCTTCCTTTCTGAAAGCGTCCCCTGTGAGCTTCATGAGCCCTATGGTGCCCTATGGTGCCACATGAGCCCCAGGAGCCCTATGAGCTCCATGACCCCGGTCACCCCTGTGCACCCCATAAGCCGCATGAGTCCCACGAGCCCTATGAGCCCTACGAGCTCGATGGGCACTACGACCCGCGTGAGCCCTACGAGCCCCATGAGCCCCACGATCCCTGTGACCTCTATTCGCCCTATGAGCCCCTCAGCCCTACGAGCATCATGAGCCCCATGAGCCGTATGAGCTTTATGAGCCCTAATACCTCAGAGCCCTACGAGCCCCATGAGCCCTATGACCCCTACAACCCTATGACCCCTATCAGCCACATCAGCCCTATCGACCATGAGCCTTACGAGCCCTCTGAGCCCTAATACTTCAGAATTTTATGAGCCCCGTGAGCCCTATGACCCCTATGACCCTTATCAGCCAGATCACCCATATCGGCCCTATGATCACTATGAGCCTTAAATGTGGTGCCCCATGGTGCCCCGTGAGCCCTATGAGCCCCAAAAGGCCTCTTGCCTAAGAGCCCTACGAGCCTCATGAGCCCTGTGAGCCCCATGAGCCCTATGAGCCCTATGGGCCCCAAAGCCCTACGACCTCTATGAGCCCTGCGACCCCGCTGACCCCTACGAGCCCCCCCAAAAGCCCATGAGCCCCAAGAGCCCTATGATCCCTATGACCCCTCTAACACCTCTCAGCCATATCAGCCCCATCGGCCCCATGCGAACAAGATTTCAAAGGTGAAGCGAAGCGAGCCGGTATAATCTTTTATGTGTGTATATATACATATATATATACCTGTGTATATATATAGATATAGATTCATGTCTGTCGCCAGCTGGGTCACCAGGGCATCGGTTCCCAAGCGGTGGACATGGATCCCCGCCTCGCACGATGCCCCTGGCGGACCCTCCGCCCGACTTGGTCCTGCGAGACCTCTCGCCCCGCCTCGCGCCGCCGGCGCCCACGGCGTCCTTCTCCCCCCCCCGCGCCGAGCCCGGCTCACCTGGCGCGCCGCCTGCCTCGGGCGGACCACCCTGCGTGAGCTCGACGACCTCGCACTTCCGATCGGCGGCTTCAGCAAACCCAGAGATTGCGTCAACCCTGAGATCCTGGCGACCCAGTTTTTTCGAGCCGGGCGTTTTCGCTCCAGTGCGGGCCCCCGGGCCCTCACGTCTCGAGCCATCTCGCAAAACGACGCAGAAGAAAGGTGGGTTGTAGGGCTTCAGGTCGCGATTTTCCACGACGTTCCACTCTCTTCGAGACGTCGGACCTCAGGGAAGGCCCTCCCGAGCCTCGCGGCGCCCTGCCACGCTGGGGACCGCGGCCTCCGCGACAGCGCCCTGGCGCGCGCCGACGCCTCCCTGGACGACATCGCCACATCCTCTTCCTCCTCCTCCTCCTCCTCCTCCTCCTCCTCCTCCGCACCGCCATCGGGTCGCCTCTCAAAGCAGCCGTGCGCCTCGCCGTGCGCGCGCCGGGGGCGGGGGCCGTCGCGGACCCGAGCGCCCGGGACTTGCTCGCCGCGGAAGGCTGGCCCGAGTCCCGCCCCGGCGGGCGCGCCGTGCTGGTGAGGCCCGCGCGCGCCTCTCCCACCCGCGGCCCCCCCCCTCCCCCCCCGGGCCAGGCGGCGCGGGCCTGCTCGCCCGCCCAACCCTGGCGCGGCGCCGCCTCGCCTCGCCGCCGCCTCGGCGCCTTGCCTGGCGCTCCCGCCTCGGCGCCCTGGCGCTCCCGGGCGCTGCCTCGCCCCCTCCCCGCCCACCTGGCTCTGGCGCGGCCCCCGCCCCCGCTGCCGGTCCCCCGGCGCCTGCCCAGCTGCCCTGCCGCCGCTGCCCCGGCGCCGCCCCGCTGCTTCCAACGCTGCCCCGGGCGCGGCGCGGGGTACTGCCCCGTGGAGGGCCGGCTCGTCTCCCCTCTTCCTCGGGTGTTGCTAGAAGTGCCCCTGGGCCAAGGTGCCCCCAGGATTCTCGGGGTAGCCCAAACGGCCTCCAAAGCACCCCTCACGAGGCCCAGAGGGACCCAGGGGGTGCAAGATGGAGCGAAAAGCTGGGGGCACCTTAGGCCAGGGGTACTTCCGTTCTTTTTCTTCCAGGCTGCTGGGCGCGCGCGCTCGGGGCTTGCCGCGCGCGCGCGCTTGACGGCGAGAAGTGTCGTCCGCCCACAACGACCGAAGTGTGTGTGTGTGTGTGTGTGTGTGTGTCTACTCGTTCTGAGCGGCTTGAGGACTCGGCCGCTAGTCGCGCGCGCGTTCTCTTCTCCGACTTTGGACGCCCTGTCGCCGCTGCGTGCGGGGCCGCGACGCCAAAACCTTTGTTTTGTGCGTATGCGTGTGTGTGTGTGTGTGTGTGTGTGTATGCGTATGCGTACGTGTGTATGTGTGTGTGTGTGTGAGTGTGTGTGTGTGTGTGTGTGTGTGCGTGCGTGCGTGCGTGCGTGCGTGCGTGCGTGCGTGCGTGCGTGCGTGTGCGTGTGTGTGCGTGTTTGTGGAGCCCAGCTCGCCAGCCGCGGCCAGCGGCCGCAGCGTTTCAGGCGAAGTCAGCCCCACCCCCAGGCGGATGGGCCCCCCAGCGTCGCCGCCAACACTGGAGGTGACAGCTGCCCGGATGCCCCGGCGCCAGCGGCCGGCCCTTTCGCCCAACTCGCACGGACACCCATCACCGCGCTTTCGTGGCGCGACAGGGTGCTATTTTTTGGCTTCTGTGCACTTCGGATTCCGCCAAGCTCGCTTCTGGCGCCCGTTCCTCATCAAGATGAATATCACGCAAGGTGACCCCGCGCGTTGCTCTGACAATCAGCTCGCCACCTTGCTCGGCCGCGACTTCGGCCACCAAACCCGCAAGAGCATGGCGCCCAGGTGAACCGCATCCCCGCTTCGGGGCAGCCCCGCGGGTGCGGGGAGGTGACCGCCTACCCCGCTGCCGACCTCCTCAGGCGCGTCCAGCAAGCCAAGAACTCCACGGGGCGTCCGGACATCTGGGCGCAATTCTTCATGCGTGCCGCCCGAAGGTTCCCCTTTTTTTCCAGGGCGGCCCGCGTCTGCTCGAACCCAGGTTCCTGCGTGCCCTGGTCGACGGGTGGGGGAACGGCTGCCCTCGGGACTGGCGCCGCCTGAACGACGAGCATCAACGCGGCGTCGTCGATGACCTCCTCAAGAGGCGGGGCCAGACGGCGTCCCGCCCGCGCTTCTGGAGAGCTGTCGCCCCCGCGGGCGCCTTCACCTCACCGTTGCACCCAGGGCGCGGAGGCGGGCCAGTCCCCCCGGCGTCGGGCTGGGCGTCGTTGGGGCCGGGTCGTCCGCGCGCCGCGACTTCCCACGCGCCTTGGGGGGCCCCAGGCCTCCCGCGGCCGCGCCCGCGCGCCGCGGGGTGTCCGCCTGGCGCCATGCCTGACGAGACCGTCCTGGTGCGGCGGGGTGCCGCCACCGCCCCTGGGCCCCCGCCCGCCGTCCCGGCTGCTCGCGTTCCCCCGCGCCCGTGCCGCGCCC